TAACTGTGTAAGACTAATGATTATTAAATAAAGGAAGTTTACATCTTCAAACGAAACTTGATAAATATTTTATGTTGCAATTGAGCAGTTTTCGCTTTTGCATCCAGTATAAACTTCATTGGGACTGTTTAATGTGCCAATTCAATCAGCGAAATTTATTTTCTTTAATTAAGCGTAGCAAAGAGATCCTGCTATCTTTTCGTAATATTTCGCTCAGCGCCACAAGACCCACCTTGTTAACGAAATATCTTCTTGCGCAAAGTTGTAACCACTCGTTAGCTCTGGATTTTCATTTATTAGAAGTAGATGTTTGACAATTGTCGTTTTCCAACAATCTAGTGGGCGCAATAAATACTTCATGCATTCTCAGGTCTGAAAGAGATTTTCAGACAATTAACCTGCCACCCTTAGCTCTTGGTGTGATTTTTTCTTAGAGTAATTTGCTTCCTGCATTCTTTTACATGCTAAGTACGTATGTAAAAAGAATTAATAAAACTGTACTTATTAGGATCGTTTGCAGATTTTCGCACAAAAAGGTTTAAACTATTTCTATGAAGAATGAGTGTAAAATAATCGATCTTCTTCGTCTTTTTTGAGATGGATTTTGATATTTCCGGTATTTTGTTAAGTGCAGATGGTACGCATGCACTCCAGACTTCCAGTTATTTGAGTGTACTTCCAAAGTCAACCCTACTTGGAAATAAAATTTCAGCCCTGGCTTCAAATTTTAGTTCCCTTGTTGCTCTTTCTAATTGTTGCGCTCTAGAGTCTTAAAACATGAACTTTAATAAGGCATTTCCTAATGACTCTCTGTATCGTATGTAAATAGGATGATTTTAGGCATGCTTACTTGCTTAGTTTTCTTTTTACATACGAGTACGTACATCATAAATTAGCAGTTTTTATCACTGTTTGGCGCTTGCTCTTATCAGACACTCTCACTCCCTCTTACCAGACCCTCTCACTCCCTCTTACCAGACCCTCTCACTCCCTCTTACCAGACCCATCTCACTCCCTCTTACCAGACCCTCTTATTCCTTCTTACCAGACCCTCTTATTCCCTCTTACCAGACCCTCTTATTCCCTCTTACCAGACCCTCTCACTCCCCCTTAACAACTCTCACACTCCTTTTTATCAAGCATCTCACTCTATTTCTGTCGTCTCGACATGACAGCTGATCTCTATACACTTACGCAGTGCTAGTTTGGCTCGCATAGCTAATGCACCACAGATTATAGCTTGACATGATAGACTTTAATTTGCGAATAATTATCGCCAATCTATGCCATGAATATATCGCCAATGATAATTCTTGATGACAGACACAGTATTTACGCCTTAATGTCAAATTTTATTGGTAAAACTTATAATGATCCACTGAGTTCAATAATACTTGTATAGAAACTCGAAACCGATTCATCCTGCTGCTTTCATAGCTTGGTGAGTCACGCACACTGAATATATTATAAAAGCCTTGAGTTCACGCAAGCTTAGACTCAATCGTGTTCATGAACACTAATGCTTCGAATCTAACATCGATAAGCTGCTAGAACTTCAGGCTCAAACACTTTTGCACGCCCCAGAAGTGCTGCAACTCATCCTCCACTAATGATTGTGCAGGTAAAATTTTATGCTATAGATCTCGCAATGTAGTTTAGGCTATGCTGAGATTCCGCAATCTTGAGTTGGCTTTAGTATATATGACTTAGTTTTCGTGTAGACTCATTACCAACACTTATTATATGAAATTCTCAATACTCGATCGACACAAAATTCTCGTTCTGAAAATCATTCGAGAATTTTGGTTCAAAATTAGGAATGAATAGAATAATGATTGAATCTAGAGCCATATTTAATTTTTTTCCGGATTATACGTCACAAAATTATCTTGGCCTGATAAAGTTTACATAAACCATTGATAAGTAATGGTTTATATTCCAGTGCAATCAAGGAGCCAAATTTGCACGAGTCTGTAACGCGGCTTGGTGTTTTTTTCCGTTTTTCGTATGCTGTACGTATGTGTTTCACCGCACCTGGTAATTCTGTTGTCTTAGTTAGACCTGCTGACATCAAAACTATAGGTCATGCCAGGATTGTCTTATTTATTACTCCAACTATGAGTAAGTCGCCTAAGGCCATGGGTTCAGTAAATTAGTACTCAACAACTGCACCAAAGTTGTGAACGTGGGTCGCCTGCCGAAGACCACAACTGACCTGGATGGAATGGACCATCATGATTCCTGCCTTCCGGAACGTAGCCTTCAACACTTAAAGCCGTCCGTATCTAGGCCATGGGTCGAACCAGCCCTCGGTCGAACGGCCACTTGTCGAAGGACGATAAATTTTGGAACAGAACTCTGCTATCTGAAACCTAACCTCATGATGCGGCGAATGTAAAATTACATAATTTAACGATGCCCGGAAGTCAGATTCGATCCGCGGCCTGGTGGTGCACGGCAGGTGGTGGTCAAGGCCGGAAGAGGACAAGGCTGAGTGGTGCACGGCTGATTGGTGGATATCCGGAGAGATCCAAGGCGTTCGATTCAGGGCTTATTGCCTATTGGTGCACAAAATTGGTAGTGCACGGCTGCGCTCCCGTGAACGTGACAAGCATTCCTTGGCCGGGGCCTCATGACGCGGCCCTGTCGACCGCCTCATAATCAACCGTTGTGTTTCTTGACTCTCGTGTTAACCGGAAACAAATGGTATAAGATTCTATACGCACAATCTTTATCCGTCTGGAGCCGTGCTACGAAACAACATGCTAATGATATTTAACATTGTTCTTTGGTAAAACACGTAATTCGCATAACCAAAGATCGAAGTTGGTGAATACGCTTTTGATTAATTCAAATACCGATGGATTAGTTAATAGATTTACGATATCGAATTCACGTGATCTCGAGTAATCTTCGGTTACTCGCTCCTTGCATGAATACGTTGGAGGAAATCGCATGGAAATTATGTTTTGATTCCCTTCGGTATATTAATTGCGGAAATGAATTTGTGACCGTGATAGCGTCAATAAAATTGTGACGTCATTGGTGCGCATAAAGTTTAGCTGTTTCCTGCCGTCGGTTCATGACGAAGTTCTTATCTGCTCTTATGATTCTGTGAAGATGCTTCTTATCAGCATCCCACTGACTTATCTTTCTGGCGCACAGCTTATTTTCCGCTTGTGGGTGCGCGTTATTGTACCGAATTGTTCTATTCTATCGTTGTGCGCCGCAGCGGGAACTTTGATGGAAATTTTGTGTGGGTCTTTTCTTACTGAAACCTGAGGAGGAGGTAGGAAGGACAACATCAGCTTTTCTGCTGTGAAAAGGCCATACAAAAGAACACAACTGCGTAAAACTGATTTGGGGTAAAACTGTAGAATTCCACCCGGAAAAACTATTGTATCATAAAATCTCATCCGGGATAAATTGCTCTTTTTGTTTCCAACTTTAGGATTAGTGGTTAAAACAAAATCAATCTTCATGTGTCACATGTCAATTTAAGCTTTTTAAATCGAAATTGTGAATCTAGGTGCATGTTATTTAACCTAGAACTATAGATTTGGTTCAAGTATTAGTATTTGAAGTTCGGTCATCTTATGATGATAGTTATACAGTGGAAAACTATAAGCCTATCGTACTCATACCGATGACGTATGTCACTATCTCGGTAAACTACGAAAGATTATAAGGGACTCACAAACCAAACCTATCAAAATTTCTTTCTTTCGTAGAAATGTACCGTACTTGATTTAGCATGTGTCATAAATATCCACGATTCTTTGAGGTTCTGAACACCTAACAAAAAAGCGACTCGTGTATTTTTAGCGAGCTTACAAACGTTACCAGTGCTTTGCCACATCAATAAATAATTGCCGCCTCACTGCGTGTGAGTTGACGCGTCGTCTAGAATGCTGAAACTTTACTATTCGGCGATGCCCGAATATTCTCTGCGGGTTATCGCCGCAGAGAATATTCTCTTATTGTACAAATTTTAGGCTCCTAATTTGTTTGTTTGGTAAGATTAGGTAATCACGTTCAGTGCTCAATGGCGTAGCCTTGAAAACGTCGATTATCGGTAAGTTCAAGATTCTGTTCCTTTGTCTTTCCACGCACCATTTACTAACGTCACTGGAAACTAGTTCGTCTATTATTGACGTCTTTTTACGAGCTCGGAATACGTAATTGTGACCTCGCGAATTAAATTTGAGATACATGCTTAAGCTTAACCCTATTTTAATCATTCATTTTTCCATGTACATGACTGTTAAACTGTTTTGTATACGTATTATTGACAGTTTGCCTCAAGTTTTCTTTCTTGCATGTTTTGTTATTTAACTGTATTACGGGAAATTTATACTGATTGGATACTAACCCAGTAATATATTCATATAATTAGTGGGTTTCTTTAGTAACTTAAATACGCAAAAAAATTCATTTTTTTCTTCAGGCGTTCAGTTGTGTATAATCAGTTAGTGTTCTGATAGTACGATGCGCATTGCGCACTAGAAACCCAGTGTGTATAACCGCAGAGCTTTAGATCAGAAGAACCACAGGAGATTCTTTGTCTGGCGATAATTTCCTTAGCACCGATCTCGTGCGTAGGCACGCGAGCTTAACGTCATCTTATCATGTATATATACTTTTTAATTCAACATTCTGCATGTGCGTCGCGACGTGAATATTGTTGGTTGGCGTGTTTGGGGTTATGAAGCCAGCATTATTTATTAAAATTTGTTGTTTGTTGGTGCAAAACTCAGTCTAAGTTATTCACGCATTTTCATAAATATTTTTTTTTTGGTGTATCAGTTACTACTAATGTTGCCAATAGGTCGATGCCTGCTGCAGCCTAGTTAGATAAACATCAACTGCCCATCAACTATTCAACTCGTGTCTACGTTTTTAATTGCTAGATTAGATTATGATGTAATCACAGAGAACTGGCTGCAATTCAGCTGCATGTGATAATTTTGTCTCTAATTTAATCTTATTCCAACTTACAGACAAATGTTATTTTTCGTATTTTTTATCTCTTAACTTTTGGTTGTAGGATCTAAAAGTTCAACTTTTTGTGCGTCAACTTTAAGGCTTAGGCTCTATGACTGGAATCCATGATGCACCTAAAAGAACGAGCGTGTTTCTCTTCAGTGCATTTGCTCCAGTTTTCAAAGGGAAAACTTTTAATTCAATCTTGTGGACACGGGTTCAGTGATAATTCGTAATCCATTACTTGTTTGAAAGATTGAGATGTAAGGTGAATTATTTTAAATAAACCCGCGTACTGAACTCTAACAAATTTATTGAGCCCATACACTCTATACTAATAACTGTGAAGATAACGAGACACAAACCCTTGTGAAGATTGAACTATGTACAGTGAATTTACTCATAGTTAACGTCGTTAACTGCAGACTGGTCGAAGTCGCGCTGTGCAGCCTCGCAACGATTCTTCAACGTTCTCTGGCTCTTCTCTCAAATTTTATTACGTTCTGTGACGCCTGGTACCTAAGTCAACCACTACATCATAGCAGTAATATCAGCATCACAACCACTACATCAAAGCAGTAATATCAGCATCACAACCGCTGCATCATAGAAGTAATATCAGCATCAACGTTGCAATAGAAGAGCTAGACGCCCCTGTAGAGCAAGAGATATGACTGTAACCTACACCCATCACGTCGCATCATCCAAAGGCTTTGGATGCTTCTGGAAGCTTCTTTTCAGGTGAGTGGTTTCCGCTATTGATAAATGCTTCTCCCTATTCTGATATGTGCTTAAATTAGTCAAGTAAATTAGTCCAGATCGAAATATTCTGTACTGTGACTGTGTGTACAGTAGCGTTCATTTTGAGTTACTTTTCAATTTTTATAGAAATTTATTACACAATAAAAATATAAATCATGCTCTAGTAGTCACGTGCTTTTAGGGGACATTCCTTCATTCTCAGCAATCTACATGTGAGGTTGCCATAACTCTAAAATAAACCCTATGCACTTGTAAGAATACTGCTGACGTTGAAAGCTAGTTGGTTAGTTAATATAATGTAACTACGACAATTTACTCTCCAATATCTCACCTGGTATTTTTAAGTGGAAATGGGACACCTGACTATTGACACCATCTTGGGTTGTATACGTTAAGAAATCAATTTTGATGTCACCGATGTGCGGACCTTTTTTTGTATTGCGCGCGAATTCAAGGGGCAACTAACCGTGCTTCTTACCTGAAACTATCAGTAAACTAGCCTTGCAGAGGCGTAAACCAGCTCTTAAATTGTCGTCATTATATAATGCATCTGTTATACTACCCAAATGATTCTCGTATTTCCTTAATTCCTGAATTTTTTCCTTTACCAGTGTACCTCATTTCCGTATTTATCATGCCGACATTATGCTTCCTTACTGAGCCTTCTCAGAAAACCAGTGAGCGGAACGCAATGACTCATACTAGTGTTTCGATTCCTTCGGTGTCATCTTCACTGGTAAGAGGCATCGATAAATTCCTCTACCTTTCCCGCGTGAACTTTGCCAGTAGCGGTATGGAAGTAGAGCGGAAGTGGCCACACCCCTCTCCTCTAGGGCAGCCAGCTGCCTACTGGCCGCTGAGGGCTAACTTCGCGGCTCGCCGGTCGCTCTGGGAACAGGCATACCAGAACCTAATGTTTTCGCGTCTGCCATTCACATATATCTTTGGCATGGTTACCTATGCGGCAGACAACTTGTCATAGTAAATTGTCTATAAATATAGTGTTTATTCTCGATTGAAAATAAATTGTTCTCCTCTGTGGATAACTGAGAAATTATTATATTAATAATAAAATAACGTTAGAATAATCATATTGCCGTATAATCACCTTTTCAGACGTTTTTCGCAATGCTGCTTAATCACATTGCGCAGATCTTCGCTCATATGATGAAAGCTAGCCAGATTCCTTCTTTCATGCAAATTAAAATTCCCCGTTGAGCACGAGGCATTTAAATGAGTTTTTTTAGAATCCTTGAGATATTGGTCGCTGGTTGAGCAAATTGTACTTTTATATCATTCTATCGCTCCAATTATTTGGTTAAATATTGACTCATTACTTTAATTGACATAACTGTGCACGATTGTCAGTGAAAAAAATCCGTTGAAATTTTTTCTTCCATCACTTGTTTTGTGCAGTGATTTTCACCATCTGGTCTTGCGTGAGAGATGATCTCTGCTCCAATATATTGATGTATATGATTTCCGCAATCGTTGATATGATATCTAGTGTTAATGAAGAGAATTTGCGCTGAAAAATGACAGTTCTTTGTAAAAGACCATCACGCCATAGATTGAGATCACGCCTTCCATCAAAGTCCATTCCAGTCTGGAAAAAAACAGCTCTACAATAAGGTCAATTTCATCCTGAATGAGAATCACAGTTTCGGTTATATATTGGCTATATAAATCATTTATCTTCGTCCCATCATATTGTGCTCTTCATTCTCACACGAGCTTCTAATGTGGGCGCCATGACTACTTGCGCTCTCCGTGGTCATTTTTTGTCACGACTCACGACAAAATCATGACTTACTTTTTGACCTAATATTTTTATGACTTGAATTGTTTTGAGATAGAAAAAATATGTTGTTCAAGTCAAAACACTAAAAATATACCAAAACAGTCTTAGATTTTGACTAAAATGTGCTCAAAACAGGATGACCTGTTATGCACAGAATAATTCGTGTGATTGAATTTCAGCGATGAGTCAGACGGTGGGTTCACTCACTGTTCAAAACTTATTTTTACAACATTATTTGAGTCATGTTCCTATTTCCTATTGATTCAATGCTGTAAAATGTTGTAAGAATTTGCACTATAAAGTATGAAATTTACCACCTTTGTTGCCTATTCTGTTCACCAGCTTCACTAGAACTGTCTGTGTGGGAATTGATGTGGAATTTTTCCTTGCGATTGGTAGGTACGGTCAAATGCATATGGTACTTAGCTTATACTGTCAATTGCCTATTGTGAATGTCAACAGCCCGATGAATGTCAAGTTTAGGTGATACTGAATAGGTGGATGGTGATACTGAATAGGGTAATAGGTTTAGGTGATACAATACCTGTCCTCAAAAAATTTGATCAATTTAGAATTTATCATGTTATGCCGCGCCCTGACGTTCACATTTACTACCTACAATGAATGCCGTAGCCCAAGAGCCGTTTGAACTGGGTGCAGGGGAGAGACCAATGAAAGCAGGTAAAGCTGTAAACAGGAAGTGTAAGGAACGTTGATCCCCGCGCCGAACCTAAGAATGCACTGCTTAGGATTTCGACCGTTGGATTTTGGCCTAAACTCATGATTATCCTTAGGAAAAACCGCTGCTCAATCATTGGGTATAAATTCCGTATAGACACGGTTTTACTACCAAATTTATGTGCCCGCCGCCCGGACATGGGAAAATTACAGTTAGTAACGGTTTCAAGTGCCACCATACCTCTAATTCACGGAGTGGCAGTCGAGCATCTTTGCACACGGAGTTTGGTTTAAATTGTAAAAGTTTTTCAGTGGCCAATTCCAGTCTTACGTGGCTAATTCCCGGTATTCCGTTTATTCATTCTTTAAAGTTAGTTAGCACTTTTGGCAGAGACTGGCAATCTGAATGATTATATTTGCACGACTTGATATAATCTCTTTTAAATGTTTTCTTAAATTCTAGCCTTGTTTTAAGAATTCTAAATTTTATCTGAATGATATCCTGTCCAGTATGCTCGTTTTCAAACTAAGGCTCTATTTTACTCAATTTGGGTAGTTGATGCTGAATTAAATAATCATTGTTAGCAGTGCTAAAACATATTTATTTGATCTCACTCCGGTGATCTTTTAGTGCACTGAAATTGAAGCGCCAAATCAGATTGTTGTTGGAAAAATCTGTTGTCTCCTGAAACGGTGTGAGTCACATCTTAAAATTCAATTGAATTGATATCATGACATCCAACCTACGGAACATTGACCCAACATTCAATTTCACGCATGTCTAAACCATGAGGTCATTGATCTATGCGTTGCCGTCCAGCATTGAGTTGAGATCATTGAGTTTACTTGCTGCGTTCTTTTTAGTTCTATGGTGTCCTCTCTACGTTTACTAATTATATATTATTTTTTGTCGTAGTAAAAGTTATATAGTGTACTGCACGTACACTATATAACTTTTACTACTATTGTCGGTTTGTATTATATTGTGGAGAACTCAGTTGAAGTGACGTCATGTCTGGCGGCTATTCGTTTGTTCTCATTCTCTAAGTAGATTCGTGCGACTTAATGTAGGTCAATTGAGTAAATGTCCCTTTTGTGAATAGACCTGATTAAATTCTGTTACTTCAGTCTTCCAGTATTAAATTCGACGCTGAGAAGAAAAATAAAATTTTATTTAACGAACTCTATGTGGTACTTGTAATATATGTGCAGTACCAAGTTCCTAAAATTCTGCGAAATCGTTCGATGAAACCATTTGAAGTAAAATGAATTGCATTCAATAAGAGATAAATTAAACTAAATTTTTAAATTTATATATCTCATTCGATGTCTCAATCTATTTATCTGAACTCAATCTATCACGAACTCAATCTATTTATCTGAACGGTTGCTTGTGCTGTATAGGAACAGACAGACTCATGAAGACAACCCATGCTAGTTTGAGATAAATAAAAAACCCACTCGTAAAAGTTGTATATACATTACTAGGCCCTCCAACTTGTTCTATAGCTATTCAAGACCTATTATAATGCAAGCAACTGAAAAAATTTACCACCAGATATCTCCGTGTCAAAATCCATTAAGAGTTTTCCGATTTTGTTTAATTTTTTGAGCGCTTTTTCAGCAATTTTTTCATCATTGCTCTTGAAATGAACTTTACAAATTTTTTGTTATGTTTTTATGATATAGCCCTTTTAAACTTTGTTTCACAATAATTTCAACTTAGGAATTAATTTAACACGTATTTTTTCAATTTTACATAATTTAGGTTCATAATTTAATTTAAAGTTATTAGCGTTACAAGTATGACAATTTTGAGTCTACACACTAGTAGTATTCGTGATGTTTAGTACAAATTTCACAGTGCTAAGTGCAATTTTTCAAAGGATATTATGAAAGAACTGATTTTTTCAGAGTCCTATAGACTATACGTATCCAGGTCTCTACAGTGACGGCAGTTTAGTGGCATTGAAGTACTCAAACATGAAGGTCTTTCACTGCTAACATTGTCGACTCTGCTAAACATTCAGTGCACGAGCTTATCAGTGGCCTGAGTACGTGATGGCTGTACCAAAGCTGTGCGACAATTATAAGCTTTGTTCTGTGCAAAGTGTGTCAATTAAATGTCAGATTTTAATCATATATGGACAAATAATACTAAATGATTGTTGAAATTAAATATCGACACTGATTCAAATTGAAAGCTTAAAGATCATTGAATTATGTTGGTATTGTATATTTAATGAAGAAAAATTAATTAGATTATTTATTCGCTAAATTGCGGAAGATAAGAGCGATTAAAAGAAATTTTTGTGAGAATTAGTACGATGTTGTTTTGATAGTTTCATGATTATTTCTTGATTATTATTATCCCGCTGGGATTTGGCGTAGTTGGAACGAATGAAATATAGATTTACTTACGAGCTACTGTCATTAGAGAAAAAATAAAACGATTAGTTAGTACGTAACTACTATTGCGAGAAATTTTTGTACTAGCTGATACATAAATTCGTGAATCAATTATACAGTTATTTCTATGGGCGAACTTGATAACTTGGCTCATGTGCATAAATCAATCATTTTTTTTTGTCAGATGAACGACCATCACATCATAAAGTAAAGGTCGTTGTAGTATTGGCTTAAGTTATCATGAATTCGTGAATTCGTTCCACTTTCGCGTTGAAATATCATTATGAGCGCCTGTTTCACTTCCCAGTTATTTTATGTTTACTTCAATGTGCATATGCATATACGTGCATTAATTATGATGTAAAGTATGGGAAGTTCCACTTTCTATTATCTTCTAAAGTGAAACTTCTGTGTTGAAGAGGTATCCTTTATGAAGCTGAAATTACAATCCATTTCCACATTTCTGCATCTATTCATTGCCTCTAATTTTATTGCTTGATTGTAACAAAAGTAATGATATAAAGAGCATGAATTTGTTACTGGAAGCATGTGCACTTACTCTCTTACGTCTACCAGATGGAGGAGCAGCATCTACAAGCTGGTGCGTTCTTCTACATGCTCCTGTTCCTAATTTGATAGCTTGATTGTAACAAAAGTAATGATGGAAAGAGCATGAATTTGTTACTGTAAGCATGCACTGAATTCCTTACGTGTACCAGATGGAAGGGCAGCATCTACAAGCTGGTGTGGCAAGACCTGTTCTTCTACATGCTCCTGTATGGCGCGTGCAGCGTCACCTACAGATGTTTTCTCGACGAGCCACAGAAAAGGTGGGTAAATATTCTTCCGGTGATCATATCCTCGGTGTAAAATGAAAACTCATTTTCAAAATAGAGATAACCCTATGAAATTGGAATATGAATACACGGAAACAACATAAAATTATATAAACTAAAAGTGTAAATAGATATTCCTCCAGAGATCTGTTTACTTGGTATGAAAAGAAACTGCACGAAATTGAGATAATCGTTAAATTAGAACTTAGAATATNTTAAATTAGAATATGAATACATGTAAACAAGATAAAATCATGTAAAACTACAAGTGTAAATAAATATTTTTTCATGGATCATTATCGTCAGTATGATACATTTACGAAGTCAAGTATATGAAATTAAAATATAAATGCAAAGAACGTAAATTCTAAAATTCGATTACACGAATTATTACAGCCTAATATACCTAGTAACTTAGTAAGTCATTTACTGACAGTTAAATCGGTCTTTTTACTAGCATCATTTCAGCATTAATTGTAATACCATTTTTCTTTATTTTCGGGGGGAGGAAGGAATCGAAAATTCCTTCCTTTCTTCTGTTTCCTGAAAACCTCATCATTCGCAATGCTCATTAGTTTTTTAGTGCTTCCGTGTAGATGGCGCGAAGAGCAGGCAACTGAATAAGAACCGTTGGCCGGTGCTTTATTTGTGGTAGGTTTGGCTTGGCTGGGTTAGGCCTAGGCTTTTCTGTGACCAGCCACCGGAACGGCGTTCTTTGTATGTTTTCGTGTGAACCGCGGCATTTTTTTTTTTGTTCGGAAAGGTTTTCAAAAAAAAACTTGCAATGCTTGGGACATTCTGAAGGTAGATTTTTTCTAAAACGGGATGAGATTTGCGACAAATTTATCCGCGTCTGGTGGTCAACGGTAGAGATTGCAATTTTTTGTCAAATGAAATAGTTTATTTCCGATCGCTCGAATTCACTAGAATTCTTAAACTTCCATGCTTGCCTTAAAATGTGTTCATAGGTTTAATGAAGTTATTTAGTGAGTGGGTTATCTAATAAAATATGTTTAAGCATTCAACAATGAAAGTGTGTTTGTAAATTCATTTGATATCAAGCATATCATCATGCATGTATCATATCATAAATCATTTGATATCATGCATATCATCATGCATATGTCATATAAATCATTTGATATCATGCATATCATCTTCGCATTTTGTCTGCTCCATCTGTTAGCAGTTATACCGCATCTGCTTGCCTGCAGGTGTGGCCTATTAATTAAAAACTTTGTCCCCGACCGAATGCCGAATGTTTCTGCTGCGTTTGATTTGGCCATGACAAGTTTTCCTACAATGAGATTTGCGACAAATTTATCCGTGTCTGGTGGTCAACAGTAGAGATTGCAATTTTTTGTCAAATGAAATAGTTTATTTCCGATCGCTAGAATTCACTAGAATTCTTAAACTTTCATGCTTGCCTTTAAATGTGTTCATAGGTTTAATGAAGTTATTTAGTGAGTGGGTTATCTAATAAAATATGCTTAAGCATTCAACAATGAAAGTGTGCTTGTAAATTCATACATTATAGCCGACTCAGTGTCGTTACCGAATGGTATTTGTAAACGGGAGATACAGCTTCATCTACAATTTATTGACGAATGTTTATTGTTTTGTTTGAAGCTTTGCATTATAAGTTTATAGGGGAGATATGTCACATGAATCATTTGATATCATTTATATCATCTTCGCATTTTGTCAGCTCCATCTGGTAGCAGTTATGGCCGCATCTGCTTGCCTGCAGGCGTGGCCTATTAAAGACTTTTTCCCCGATCGAATGCTGAATGTCTCTGCGTTTGATTTGGCCATGACAAGTTGTTTGGCCATGTCTCACGGAATTTCTCAAGCAGCGCCTGATTGACCTGCCAATATAAATTGCTAGCCGCTTTACTCGGCGTTTGTACTCGCCAACAAATTATAAAATCAGTATTAATTTCCTAATAAACCCTGTCACGCATCGCCTCCTTTCCTCCCTCCCCTGTTTTGCTGCTACCATGTAGTGATAACCTGGTAAATGTAAATTGTGATTAAGTAATTGAATATCCATCAAATATCCACGAAGCCAGCCTTCCACACGAATGAATACATTAGCGAACATGAATATTTAGATATTTCATATTAGATATTTTTTTAATTATACCTCAACATCTTGTATACGTGACATTATAAAAGTAAGCTGACAGATACCCTATCGTTGCTTGTTGCAGAGTATTCGAAAGGATATCGATGCACTGCAATCAGTTCACCGACCTGATCCCAGTGGCGTTTGTACTGGGGTTCTACGTGTCCATTGTAGTGCAGCGATGGTGGAACCAATACATGTCGCTGCCCTGGCCTGATTCACTCGCCCTCTTCGTCTCAACCTGCATCCATGGAGGGGTATGCTTCTAATAGTTTGTTACATTATAATTTAGTACGATTCAGTATGCATCGTCTGTAGTTTTCTGGGTCGCTAGAAAGTTAAAAATCTAGCGTGGTTTTTTAGTCTGCTTCATTCGTACTCAATTTATTTTGCATGATAACCTCAGCAATGAAAAATTGCATTTAGAAGTTTACGTGGTACTAGGTCGTAATTATCTGCATCACTCGGTAACTTTATGAGGTTTCACGATGAATATTAGAGGCGGGTGTAAGGTTAAGTAGTTGTGTGATTCGTCCTCCGGGTAGGATTGCGTTGGATTTATAATGCAGGATCAGTAGTGATTTTGTATGCATAATTTTGGAATTCATGTCTCCCGAGGCCCAGCTTATTTCGTTGCCAGAACTTTATCCTATGAAAGTGGAAAGCCGCTTGGAGGACAATTTCACCAGTGGGTCATAGAAGCATAGAGGTACGTGTTTCAATTTTGCTCGTAAAAATAATATTGTCAGTAATGTTTTTATCTGTAATTTTTGTAATAATGATCTCTTGAGAATCTCTTGATGTTTGATATTCTCAGGACGAGCGGTCGCGTGTGATGCGCCGCACCATCATGCGTTACGTCAACCTCACGCTCGTCATCACGCTCTCTATGATCAGCCCGCGTGTCAAGAAACGCTTCCCTACTCTCGACCACGTCATGGAGGCCGGTGAGATGCAACGAATTTAAGCCAACCTGTGCAAAATATTGGGGAAATTTGCCCGAATTAAAAAATTAATGCCCTAGATGAGATTTAAATTGAACACGCATCAATTTTCGACAAGTTCATCGCAATCAAAATAGGCTTAATTAATTTGCTCGTGCACGAAATGTTCTGCGGCATTTACTATTTTGGGACTCATTTGAACGATATTCCAGTTTAATATTCCTTTGGGGCAGGTTTCCTAACGAGTCAAGAGAAGAAGATATTCGAGGCGATGAACCGCAAGACGACTCACCCGAAGTACTGGATGCCGCTAGTGTGGGCGGGCACGATCGTGTCGCGGGCCCGGAAGGAGGGCTGGATTCGGGACGATTTTGCCGTCAAGTCCCTCATCGATGAGATCAGCAAGTTTCGTGGCCTGAATGGAACCCTGCTCAGCTACGACTGGATCAGCATACCTCTCGTCTACACTCAGGTTTGAATGCATGACATCACTTGTACAATGTACGGCAACATAACATCCGTCCTTCTCATTAGATTATAAATACGGTAGCCGTGTTGCAGCACTTTGTGGAATCTTATGTACTTGCTCTGCATCGGTAGACTTTCAGACTTACATTGTTTTGCTGCCCTATCGTTCGTAAATATGAACTTACGATTGCCCTGCCACTTTAGCTAAAGTTTTTCTTTTTCTTGACCAAGCGTTGGCGAGATGACAGTTATGCTAAGCCGGAGTAATACCATCATTCTTATGTACAACTTTGCTTCCGTTGCTATTTGAAATTGGACATCAGATTTATCTATCCTTATTGAAATACCTAGAAAATAATGTTGACTTGCTCTTACTGGAAAACGTTGCAGGTGGTGACTCTGGCCGTGTACACTTTCTTCATCGGCACGATCATGGGACGTCAGTTCCTGGATCCTGCACAAAAAATCCCAAACTACACCGTGGATTTCTATGTGCCGTGGTTCACGTTCCTGCAGTTCTTCTTTTACATGGGCTGGCTGAAAGTTGCCGAGACGCTCGTTAATCCCTTTGGAGAAGACGATGATGACTTTGAAGTAAATTGGTTGATTGACAGGAACTTGCAGGTGAATCTCTGGAGCTGAAGTTCCAACCTAATCGCACAAAACTACAATAACTTTCTTATTAAATGAAAGGAAAGTGTTTATTTACTCTCAAGACTAGCTTGATGTGCTTTTATAACAAATTTTAGTTCAAATCAGATCTATATAATCTTGCTTTTCGAGTGACATAAGTGAAACGTTGAGACACGCAATGATATTAATTTATGATTCATCTTATGTTATATATATATCGTGCTTTATCGTATGTTATCGTGATGCATCTTATGTTATCGTGATGCTCGTGCCCTAAGGTGTCGTACCTGATCGTGGACGAGATGCACGAGGAGCACCCTGACCTCATCCAGGACGTTTACTGGGACGAGGTCTTCCCGCAGTCTCTGCCCTACACCGTCGCCTCCGAGCCCTTCAGACGCATGGCGCCCCAAGGCTCCACCTTCAACATGCAGGTCATCACCAACACCGTCATCACCAACACCATCATCACCAACACTGGCATCACCAACACTGACATCACCGGCACTGGCATCACCAACACTGACAACACTGGCATCACCAACCCTGGCATCACCAACACTGGCATCACCAACACTGGCATCACCAACCCTGGCATCACCAACACTTTCATCTCTTACTTCAGCACAAGTATTCCATTTAACGCCATCATTTCAGTTGCCGTGTTCATCTCCCTCAACACCATCATCACAACCAAATTAATATCCATCACTCCTCGTCATCAACCTTATGCCATGATCATGACAGCGTGATAACTGATGGACACATTTTATCCGCAAATCTTTTATATCAGCAATCTTTGCAAGCCTAAATCTCATTCAAGCAGTCAATGAATAAATTAATGTGTCAATTAATTCATTAAAACAAATGTCAATATGTTCTTTCAACATCTTTAATATACATAATGGATAGAGATGTAATTCACTCCTTGTCTTCAATATCTACAACTTTCCTTAACAAATTAGATTAAAATTATATCCTTAATAAATTAGATTAAAATAAGATCCTAAATAAATTAGATTAAAATTAGATCCTTAATAAATTAGATTAAAATTAGGTCCTAAATAAATTAGATTAAAATTAGATCCCTAATAAATTAGAATCTGTTTATCGCGTGCAGGTGCCCGACGCTGAACAGGAGATAATTCTGGTGCCGCTCGAGGAGGAAGATGAGGATGAGGGCGGCACGACTCATCGTCGTCATGTCAAGGTATATAATTGGCTCCCTTCATCTGTTCTTATTGGTTCATAATAAGTTAATGAGATTTATTACTTTTACTATCCATTTTGCTGTAAAGTCAAGCATACTTTTTTTGATAACTAGATCAAAATACTTTCAAGATACTTCAAAATACTCAAGATCAACAGTTGATACTTTCAAGATCAACTAGAACCACCGCCGAGTCAGTCGCAGCTCTTCATCTTTCCTCTTCAGAGTTGAAATAATTTGAAGTAAAATTGAATCATGCATATCAGCGACGACTTGCTCTAATGCAATTTACCTCCTGCCGGATTTTCTTACCGCTTAATTGAAGCACCTCAAATCGATTTCTCGTATTATTTAATGCTTTTAATTAGCTAAATGATCCTAACACAATTAGAAGATGTGATTTGATTTGGTTCACCATTAAAAAACGTCTGATTCTCATGCATGTTGCCTAGAAAAAGGTAAAGCTATCAGAGTTCTCCAGTGATATCTGTTCCCTCGGCGTGCATCTTGGCGTAGAAATTTGCCTTATTAGGTGATCCTGGCCACACATTATTTAGGTAGTACGTTTTGCTATAGTTTTTTTTTCGACTGGCTGCTAAGACGTCAAGGGAAGAAACGCCTACATTACACCACAAAACAGTATCAACAAATTTTCACTTTATATATGCCTGCGCCCTTGCTTATTACCAAAATTATTATTACACCTACTCATTCGAGTGGTTTTTGTATTGTATTGGCGTCCAAACACGGTTCATTTCAAAACCGTCCAAGACGGACCAGCGAAGATTGCGAATTGAGAGAGTTCTCTGCTGTTGGTACGTACATCGTCGTCCATAACAACATGAGCATCACCCACATCCAATGGCTGGCACATCATCTATTAGGTTATTCTTGGTCGTAATTACATTGCGGTATAGCGCGCCTTAATAACCAGGGTTACGACGGTGATAAATTTGCGTCCATAAACTTTTATCAACAGATTTTCCAACTCATTTTATTTTGTTCAGATCGATATGAACCAGAGCGGGATAAGTCGGGACAGCCTGCACTCGTCCAGCTCGGCCATCGCGATGAAGGTTCGCTCGCCCCGCGCCTCTATGTCGGAGGGTCGCAAGGGCAGCGTCTTGTCCGTCTTATTGAACCGCGTCATGCACAGCAACGTCCACGACGCCAACGCTACCAGATTCTCCAGGCTGGGTGCGCCACCTTTATTCTTTACGTTAAATTATTATATGTTTTTAAGGCATAATTCTGGAAGGTTGTCAAGGAATAAATCCATGGGTTAATGGCTGAAACATTGAATCGCTTTTAAGCGCATTTTCTCATTTATGAAAAAAATGCACTATTGTGCTCGCCATGTCCGTCTGTCTGTCCGTTCGTGACTTCACGTTTTCGTCGACGAGAAAATGCGCTCTCTGTCACTCACTGCAGTGAGTACTGAGGTTTTTTTTTTGCATTACAGGAAGCAGTTTGAGCATCAAATCGAAACGGACGAACGCTCGTCTGAACAGAAACTCGTCCCGTCTCTCGACGATGTCGCACGGTAGCAGCGGCAGGGAGAGTTACTCGAGACCAACTCCCAGGGGCGTCCCCAACAGCGCCTCTGTCGCGCGCTCTGCCATCTCTGACGAGGTGACGTTTGCATGTCGCTTGGTATCAGGATTTTGACTCGTGACTTATTCAATAGTTATAATAGTTTAGCAACGACTTGTGTCACTGGGTACGTTCAGATATTAATAATTCATTAACCACCTGTGTTTAGCTGCTAGTTCGCGCATTCTATTCACAAGTCATTTTTTTAAATATTTTAGCACATGTAGATTGTATTTTTATACACCAGGCAGAAAATTTGTCATTCTTTGTTCATCTTTGTTACCCATGCTTCTCTGGGTTTCGTTCTCTTGTCCAAACTTATTGTTTTGCAGTCGAGCTTCGAGATTTTAATCATACCTTGTATATAAAGGTCTGTCCTGACGCTACGTTTTTTTCTGCGCAGTCTTAAGAAGGAGTGGAAACGTTGCAATTTTTAGTGAGTCTACGTAGTAAGTGAGTAGAGAGATATCTCTACTCACTCACTACTACTCTACTCACTATTTAGTGAGTGAGTAAAGATATCAGTATATTTCGCTCAGTTTTGTGTGATATCGTCATGGAGGAGGAACCATTGTGGTATATTTTGGCACTGTGTTTGTTAAAAGAAAAGATCGGAACGTCACAGAAGTACTCGACGTTCAGGAAATGACCTCTAAAAATTCAGTACTTTTCCCATATTAGATTACCGTACTGCGTGAATTACGTGATGAACCTAATGATTGGCGATACTACTTGGGAATGGACATAGACGCGTATATATACCTACTTATTTATTGGAATTCGTGACATCGCATGTCATCAAAGAAGTTACTTGTATCAGAACCGCAATATCACCACTTTTCGGTAATCACTTCTCATAGAATTTATTTTTTACAACTATTTCTCTGTTTGCTGTTGCATCAATTTATTTGAATTTGTCCACTTAACTCTCCGAGGCCCCCCACCCTTTTTATCCCTATTGCTGTAATACTTAGATTTGGCACGCGAAATGCATGGGAAAGTTTCATTTATAAAATGCAATAAATTCTGTGAAGAACTCCCTACAACATCGCCGAAATTAAGCAATTTTCTCTTGACGAATCGAAAATGGGAAACAAAGTTAATCGGAAAACGGTGCTGCCGTCCACATGCTCCCACTTGTCCGAGCAGTTGCGCAGACTTCCCGACAGACTCGAAGCTGCTCAAATTACCAGTCTACACGCAACTTTTTATCTCTAACGTGTTGAACTTTGCAGACAAAAGGTTTTGTAGAACGTAGCGTCTGGACCGGCCTTTACAGCTGGGCTTTATGTCATAGATTTTACTCATACATTGTATTTTTTAGCTGGGCTTCTTTATTTTATTCATATCCAATTTATTTTATGATTTTATTCATACTAGCTGGGCTTCGACGACTGCCAGTTGAGCCAGAACAGGGAAGTGCTGCTGGATGAAGAGGGAGCCATCCTTATCCGCATCAAGCCGGACTCCGAGCGCAGTGAGATCTTCTTACAAATAAAACAATTAGATAACCTTCACAATCAATAAATCGATAACCTTCACAATCAATAAATCTGAAAATATAATGTATCTTATCAACCGATCCGAACAAAGCTCATATCTTCTCAATTAACGTCATTGAAGCATAAAAATTTCGGAATGAAATGGCGACAGAAGTCATGGTAAATTAGCTCTTGACAGGTGGAGTGTCGCGATATATCATGTACTGTAGTTATGCTTTACCTAGTAGTTTTTAATTATAAATAGTAGAAAGACCTATCAACTACAAATTCTATGAGAAGTTCTACAAATTTCTTGTAAAAAAATTTTTTGGGCTGGATAATCCCTATTAAAGGAAATTGACGTCTTCTGTATTATTTACATAGCGTAATAATTTGTAAGTACTTTAACGGAACTCTTTCTTTGCCCAGGGCCTCAATCAACCAAGTCTGCTTTTGAGTCCTCAACGTCACGTCCTTCCAAGACTGTCTTACCGAACACGTCGACGGCTTCTGCCTCCCTCAGCTCGTCACCCGTGCTCGGCGTCCACGTGGCGACGTCGGCCTCATCGACGTCTCGGGCCACGGACGTCGCGGGACGGGCAGTGGGCGCGCGGCTGCCGCCCCTGCCCACGCCCGTGTCCAAGAAGACTGCAAACGGCCGGCACAGCTTGGCACCTGTTGGTTCAGTTCCTTTTGTTAACAATTCAGTGTTATTTTAATTATATTGGATGCTCTCGCCATACAATGGTGCCTGTTACATACTTCATGTCGATTATTTAAATTTGTTGCTACCATTTTTATTCTTCCATGCAATTGTTTGCCTGGTAGTAAATTTCTATATCGTAGTATATCTCTGTCAATAATTTATTATCATATCATTGATAATGGAGAAACTTTTATTATATCATGAAAACTTTCCTCGCAGCTGCAGATGCGAGGGTCGCTGAGCTCCTCTGGTCACACCGCGGCGCACCTCCTCAGCCAGGAGCTCGGCAGCGACGAAGAAGTCGAAACTCGTAAGAATCTCCTAATTATTATTTGATCTTAAAATTACTCGAATTGTTAAAAAGGTTGCTACGTTTCATTTTCCAAATGTTGCATTTGCAAGTAATCCATTGCGGCAGTAGTAAGGTTTGAGACTATTGCATGGTTTTTCCTTATTTTTGGGTGGGTAGTAAGATATATATTGGTCTTTATTCCAATTCATTCATTCGTTTCAGGTAATGTATATCCGGCAACATTGAAGTTAGTTATTTTCGTCTAAGGGGATTTTGAATCCACTCGTTACATTTGAAGTTATGACAAAATACTCAACGCAAAGCTCACATGATGCTTGCATAATTAATAGAAGCCTTATTATACCGCATTCTATTCAACACTGGATTCAAGTGTAATAATTTCTGTAACAAAATCTTTACAACGCAAGAATTCCAATTTTTGTAGAAGAATTGATCATTTAGCGACCGAAGATTGAAATATATATGGTATTGTTTATTATGCATTAATCTTTAGATCCTGTTTCCAATTCAATTATATTTTAATTATTACTTTTTTACAACACTTCTCTTTAACTTCACTTCTTGTTGTTTGTTTGTTTGTCTGCTACAAATCTCATAATCTATATTTAACACACTTCTACCTCTCCAACCGATCTGAAATTTTGCACACTTGCGTAAAGTTGGAGACAATGCATGAATCAAATGTCAAAATAAATGATTTTATAAATTAAAATTTTTTTTTTCAATATTAAAAAAATTGAAAAAATAATTTTGTCAGCTGCAAATCTTATAACTGATAATTGACATACTTTTACTTGTCTAATTGATCTGAAATTTTGCACACCTGTGTGAAGTCAGAGGCAATGCATGAATCAATTAACAGAATAAATAATACTGAAATTTTGCACACTTGCATAAAGTTGGAGGCAATGCATGAATCAATTGACAGAATAAATAATTTTGAAAATGGAAAAAAAAATTTAATATTAAAAAAATTTAAAAAATAATTTTGTCTGCTACAAATCTTATAATCGATATTCAACACACTTCTTGCTGTCTAATCTATCTGAAAATGTGCAGACTTGCGTAAAGTCTGAGACATTGCATGAATAAATTGACAGAATAAATAATTTCGAAAATTTAATTTCATTCATGTATTAAAATAATAAAAAAATTAATTTTTTTTTAATATTCAAAATTAAAATTAGAAATTCATTGTACATGTTTTACATTGGAGACACTGGATTTTTTAGAAGTGTTGTCTTTAAAAAGTAGTTTTTAAACGTATATTATTCTTAATTGACTTTTCCAGCTTGGGGAAATAATGAACCTGTGAGCCTGGAATTCCCCCTGTGCAAATCGGGTGAAACTGGCACCATCCGCAGGAAAGGGTGAGGAACATGCAACATCTTAGATTTAATTAGTTAACTGTTATGATGATTTGTGCATTTTTGATGTTTCATCCTTCTTTGATGATTTATCCTTTTTCTACGATCTCTCCGTTTCATCGTGATGTACGAAATTTAGCTGGAGTATTGACTGATAGAATTTGTTGTGTTAGAAGGTGATCTCTCTAGTTATAATTTTTGTCGAAATAATTGAGCAGTGGCATCGTATAAGAAATATTAATCATTAATAATTTACCGCTTCCTAGGAAATCTCCAAGGGACGAGCGCCTCGTGAGTGCGGTGTCGCAGCCGTGTGCCCAAGAGGACCTTCTCTCGCCCTCTGCAGGAGGTGTTGCCAGGGGCGCCATGATCATGCGTGGTCTCTCCGTCCCCAATGACTGGAATGTTGAACATAAAATGCTCGACTATAATCAAGATTTAAATCAAAGTCACACTGATTCAGCTTTGTGCAAGACCTCAGCTGTGGACATACCTAAAAAAAAGCAGTCGAGTTTCGCAGATTCTGGAGTTGCGTTCCCACCATCATCGCCTCCTCCCACCCCAAATACTGTACTCGATTTGCCCGGCGAGTTCTCAGTAGCGTCGCTGCTAGAACCAGAATCTTTAAGAATGTCCTTGTCTGAAAGGTTCTCAACTCTAAATAATGTAGACGCCGTCCAAACAATCACAGAACCCGACCAACCCTCTCATGTTCGTAAATCGACTTCAATTCCCGAAGGCTTAGACGTTGTTAATGAAGAAAACGAAACCTACGATGACGACAGCGATAATAGCAATGCGAACTGCAAGCCCTCAACTTCCCCTCCTCATCCTCCCATCTCTTCTCCCCCCTCCCCTAAATCTCTCAAAAAAATGGATTTCATGAAATCTGAACATGAACCGCCGTTATTTATAAGCGAAAGTCCCAATGCTTTGTCCTTTGATGGACGACCATAATGTTTTTTCTTTATTCCAATTCATTCGTCACAACATTATTCATTTGTATCTGATGGTTTCATCCATTCACTATGGACTCGTATGATTGAGAACCATTTTCATTTTGCACAGTCAAATTGTTTTATTTTTTTTATCATGCTCGTAGTCTTTAGCGCTGTAAATGCAAGCCTTATTTCGTCAATAAAATGTCTACTGCAGCAAGGAGCTTCCGAGTTACGTGTTTTGAAAATCGAATTAGCCACGCATTCTCTGATATGACTGGACTGTGAATTTTCAAGTTCTGATTTAATTATTCTTAAAATTTAATTTTAAAATCTGAATGCCTCTCCTAATATTTTTGTTATCAAATCAGACTGTAAACACAATCTGTAAGAGAGGTCGTTGAAGCATCTACTTACTTGCCTTACATTATTTAACTTATCTGCTAAGTGTCAATTTTAATGTAGACCACCTGGTTACAGCGAGCTCATTATATATCCTATATTGTTCGTACAAATTTTATTTATTCAACGTTTTCCCTGTAAACATCACAAGACTCCGGTATTGAATAGTATGTGTTCATAACTCATAAGCTATGTGGGCTTTCCTATAGTTTTCTTATGTTGGTCTCTCATTTTGACGCACGGACCACTGCACTCTGCTGCAGTCCAACTTTTCATGATATAGACTTTTTAAATATCTGCTCCAAGCATCGCATTAAGCAAAATATTATGGATTAATGATGGGTCTGATCTCAAGCGCGTGTTGGCATTTTCGCGAGCTACAAACTTGCCAATAGATACCAAATGCACTACCGCGTATTAGTATCGTAAATGGCCTCGAACTTCGGTTCGTCATTATGCTTAAAAGTGCATGATTTAATATTCTAGCTTACGCTTATTGATCTTAACTATTCCCACGAAATGAAAATAAAAATTTCTTATCCAGGTGTACAATTCATTTGTACTTAAATACCTACGACCAAGGATCGAAAGCGTTCAATCTGAAGCGATTTTGTATTCTATGGATGGTTGACAAACGTTTAGAGGAAACGGTGAAGTGATGGAGGAATGCATTTGTAGGTTATATTTCACGCTTATCTTCCATTTAAAGTTTATGGCTCCGTGGACAATACTATGACTAATTTTTGCTTGAACCTTCTATCCCAAGATAGGAGTAGAGCTGAATATACAGTGCCGTGTCGCATTCAGAAAACACTAAGCACTTTTTTCCGGGTCATCTTCGGGCTATGCATGCTTAGTCTGAGTATAATTTTGAGGTCATGTTAAATGATGGCGTAGGCAAATTTTCACTTCACCAGTTGGTAAGAAATGAAGATCGTCGTTTTTGAAGCACACGAGCTATAACCAGGATTCAAAGTTGAAATGAAGAAGCAGAGCTACTGAGGGAACGCTTGGGAATAAACGAGGTTAAATAGGGCGAGGAAATGAGAATTTCATTTAAACCAATAAATCCTGTTGAAGCAATGCAGACTTACCTTATGTAACTCAGGCTAAAATCAATCGATTAATGTTGAAATAACACGATACATGCTTTATCTCGATCAATTTTCAGTTATGGAAAGATCGGCTCTCAAAGGAATTAAGTTGCGAAAAGTACAAGAATCGGCAACAGGACATGGGCCTATTTCTTCAGTGCCGACACTTCTATCAGCAGTTCAGCCCAGCTACTGAAGGTGAAATTTATGATCCCTGCATAGTAGTCCAACTTGAGAATTTGTCTCCCGAACGTTTTCATTGAAATTCGTTTTATAATGTTATGTACGAGTGTAAAAGATGACTTAGTTAATAGTTCGACATTGATTTGATAAAATCGTGATACAAGCAATTGTGTGAATGGATAAACAGAAGGAGATTTAAATACGACTGTCGGCAAGCATCAAAAAAATTAGAGGAGGCTGCTCAGAAAGGAAAAATATTTCGTAGTTTGTTTTGTTTGAGTAAAAAATTGCGATTCGATAATTCACGCTTCCTATCGAATGTGATGATTAATCAATCAAATCAAACGCAAACGTATTTAGTCATGGATAACAACGTACCCTAAATTTCTAAATGACGGGTGCCTACGGCTGTTTCCCATGCAATAAAGGAATACGCAGAGCTGGGCAGCGCTACTTTGAAATGTAGCGGCCGCTACCGCTATACATGCTCTAAATGTAGCGGGCGCTACCGCTACAATTACTTAAATGTAGCGCCGCTACTGCTACCGCTACATGTAGCGCGCTACTGCCCACCTCTGGGAATACATCCACTTTGTAATATGATTAATCTTCGATACAAGTCTTTGATCTCTCAGATTAAGATTTTTCACCATTAACATCGTTATTTAATACCGCTGAAATGTCTCATCAGAGGAAATCGAAGGTGCCAATTCACAGAAACCTTCGGAACAGTGCGGTAGTTTTTTGTTTGTTTAAATTACAAACCTACCGCGTCACCCTCAATACAAATACTCAAGTGACGTCTCAGTATGGGCACAGACTAGTTTCATTCTGACAAAATTCATGATTTTTCCCATTAAAAATGGTAACAAATTCGACGAAAGTATTCACCCATAAAATTTAGAGGAACTAACGCTTAAAACCTGAAGATAATAGATGAGCTCTCTACCGGACATCTTTATCTCGCAACCATTGGTCACACGAGCGGAAGGGAGCTTAGCTTTAGCATCCTACTGAGCATGCTAACCTTCAGTCCCATGTTTACTTGCCTCAGATCTTGCTGGTGGAAGACGTTGATTTCATCGACAATTTTTACTGAGCCCTTAACCGTGAGTTTGTTGTTCTTTAACCCGGGCTGCTGAACCAGATAATTTGAATATCAATGTCACAAAAAGTGATATCTCAAGCATTTTCCTCGCATAATAGTTTATTCCGCTTTAATTAGGTTATGTCGGCCTTTACCGATTGCTAGCCCATTCTCCGCCTCGCTCGTTCCTAACGGAATTTTGATACCATTTACGGGTCTCGAACCTCCTACTCGCTGCTTTTTGTAATCTTAACCACTTGTCCACCTCGGTTTAAGATACTTTCAGAGTGTTTACTAACTTTAATTTTATAGAATGACTTGTTGAGTGTGCACACCAAAACAAATGTGTAATTATATTTAATTGGGTGATGCAACGAGAGTGACAAAATTGTCATTTTTAGATTTTTAATTAAAATTCTTCCAATTCATTGAAGATCAGGTGCCAGACTTATGATTGCAGACAATTCAATGCTTTGTTTATTGCCCGGAAGTAAAACTGCGCTGTTGATTCCTAGGCTTAGTCGTTGTCCAACTAGTTTTCCAAGGAATGTGAGTACAACTTCAAATTTAATCGGCCCAATAAAACTTCATCACTGAGAATCACATTAATATGAGTATATTAATTAATTGATTTGGAGATTTTATGTGAAAACTAAACTGAATAGTGAGTGAACCCCATTTTGTTAAATGCCAAAATAGATATTCGTCTAATGCAGTGGGTCCCAAACTTTTTAAGCCTGGCGCCCTCTTTGGCTGAATTGGCTCCATAGTGAATTTCTAGCGCCCCCCACAGACACATATAAAAACATAGGTACGCCTCTTTCTTGAAATTTAGTACGCTGCAATTTCAAAAGATAAAGGTTAAATACAAATGTGTATTTCACAAATATAACCCCATTTAGTGAACCAATATGTTTTTCAGCAGTTTTAACTGTTTCAACACTAGAAACCCAGGACGTCTCGGGCAAATTTACGGCCGGACTCGCGGCCGGTCTCACGACCAATCTCCAAATTCAATTATCAAGTAATATCTCCCCAACTAATGAACGCAGCTCAATGAAATTTGGAACATGCATTCATAAGAACCTAACGTGATGGTTAAGCACGTGAAAAAATGTTAAATTTCACCTTCATTCGTGAGTTATATTGCGATACAGGCCGAAATTGGCAGTGATCAAAGAATTTCTTCCAAACTACTGGGCAGATTTGAACGAAATTTTGAATATATATACCTAACTATTTAGCGGTGATTTTTTATCTTCTAAAAAATGTTAATTTTGATTTTATCTTCGTTTGCGATTTTTTTTTTCCATTTCACCGTCATTCTTGATTTCACGCTTCCTTATATTCGGCCCGTATCGCCGGGTTATTCGTCGCTTAAATTCGCGGCGATCAAGAAATTTCTTCTAAACTACTGAACAGATTTCAACGAAACTTTGTATATAAATACCTAATCTCCCAACGGTGATGTTTAGCTCATAACAATTTTTCTGTTTTGCTTGCGTTCGCGGGTTATACAGATCCCGGAGAAACGACCGGCTTTTCTACCGGCCGGTTTAACCAAGAGCCGTTTACGTATAGCCGTATACATATGTATAGCCGTAAAATCCGCAAACGAAGGCAAAATCGAAAAAAAATATAACGAGCTTAACATCACCGTTGCTGAGGTTAGGTATATAAATACTAAGTTTCGTTCAACTCTGTTTAGTAGTTTGGAAGAAATTTCTTGATTACTACGAATTTTAGCACGTATTGCTGTTTAAATCACGTATGAAGATGAAATGAGGAAAAAAACTCGCGAACGAAGGCACAATCAAAAAAAGTTTCACGATCTAAAGTCTAAACATTACCGTTCGGTAGTTAGAACTGTAAATTCAAAATTTCGTTCGAATCTGTTCAGTAGTTTGGAAGAAATTTCTTGATCACTGTGAATTTCGGCCCGTATTGCCATATAACTATGGCAAAAACAAATAAAAGCAAAACGAAAAAAATTTTCACGAGTTAAACATTACCGTTAGGTTCTAATGAATACGTGTATCAAGTTTCATCGAGTTAAGTTCGTTAGTTGAGGGATATCCCTTGATCATTGAATTATGAAATTGGCTGTGAGACCGGCCACGAGTCCGGCCGTTAATTTTTCCGAGACGTAAACCCAGGAGAAGTTAAAAAAACAGATCTGGGTTAAAAAACCATCATTAGGAGTCATGTGCTGCACGTTTTGGGTACAAATCGTCAAACAAACGTTCGAACTTCTGACATCGACTTCGGACTGCAGCCCCCCCTGGCCCCTACCGCCCCCATTCCGCCCTTTTCTTCCTTACCGCCTTCCAAAATCTTTCCACCGCCCCTAGGGGGGCGATATCGCCCACTTTGTGAACCACTGGTCTAATGAAACTAGTATTGCCATTGGCAAATGAGTGCGGAGAGAAGTCGCGTACTATCCGTACATAGATTTTTGCTCATGATACAACAAATCGCGAAAAAAAAACTACTGTCTATTTGAATGTAAAGGTCCAGGAATAAAATTGTTTTGTGAGCAAACACGTTTCAAATTCAGACATGAACCACTGTAACAGGTCAGAATGTTAATTATGTGCGGTAAGAATTAACTCGTCAAATCCGGCGGTCGCTGATGTTTCCATATTCGAAGCCGTGTTCCTGCTTGCGTCGACGTCATGGTTGAACTAGTATATAGTTCAACCATGCGTCGACGTGACCCGGAAGATTTTTTTCCTTGTAGTTTGAAATCGAAATGTCAATTTCAAATTATTAACGGAAATTAATTTAGTTTTAATTTGCGACCTTCTTTCCAGATGGCTTGTGTTTGGTTCATAACTTCTTTGGTGCTGGTAGTGAGTGTGTGCAACGCAGAGGCCCTCCGGTGTTACCTCTGCGAAGACTGCGTCAACGAACACCCTTCTTCTCCGGTTGAGTGTGGATCACTCCTGGACGCATGCGCAGTGAGTTCTCTGACGTCGTTTATAGAAGTAGCTCTTTTATTCACTCACGTGTTTCATGTTGGCTTTACTCCTCCCCCCCCCCCTTCAGTGTCTGTGATGTCTAAACCTGCCTGCACCATTGAAGTTACAGCAAATTACTTACAAGGGGTTATAGTTATGTTAGGTTATATTAGCGTATTACTTTTCTTCCGATGTGAATCGATCGCGTTCTGGCAACAAAAGCCACGTAAAAAGTAATGCCGCGCAAATTTTCCTGTACCCTTGCTCAGCTATCTCAAGGAACACAATCCGAAGGCAATCTTAACCACGTTCAGACGATGCTATCACAGTAAAAATGCGAGTAGTGCAATTCATTGTGTATTAAGCAGCAGTATTCGTTTAGTAAAGAAACAAATCCAATGACTCGGAGCTATTGCAGGCTGAATTGCCACTCGAGAAGAATTGCTCGAAAGAAGTGTAACGGATATTCCGGGTAGATGGTATTCCTAAGCAGGCCCTTGAAGTAAAAATTTAACTATTTAAAACATTTTTTCTTCCTTGAAAGACATTTCCAGCGCAGGACTTAAAACACAACTGGAAAGCCTTTTTATGACACGCTTCTAGTAATTTGGATTAACGGAGGACCATTGCGGCAGGTAGATTTGATTGAAAGAGTTTAAAGTACGAAAAAGCAAATTTCATTGATGACCGTTTTGTTTGGTGCTTGCTCGGAATTATGGGAGAACTGTTAAGTTGTATTTGTATGGGTAGCCCCTCAGGGGGGACTTCTGACGCGTGTCTGTGCACGTCAGAAGTCCTATGGGATTTCGCGCTCCTAGGGGATTGTTCCTGAGCGCCCACCGCTGAGCTCGCGGTGTCCGACTACAGGTCTCAGTTGTGGGGTTAAGTTATTATGTAGGTAGGATTCCTTACATTTCCCCTCTATGTCTCTCTCGTGCGGGCGGCCGACGTCCCGTGTAAGCGACCTCTTGTTCTAGTGTCTTCGTTTCTGTTGCTTTTCACCTGTCCCTCCTTGTCATTTCGTCTCTTTGAGATGCTAACGCTGCTTTTTTCGAGTCAGCTTCAGCGGGCTGGACAATTGAGACCTTCCGCCCCTTGTGGGTGATGAACAATGTTTGATTTGAAAATCTTTCAATAACTGAGACCTTCCACCTCTTTGGTGATGTTCATCTTGACTTTCGGTGCGAGATAGCTAAATAGATGGAGCGCTAGTAAACATTTGGCCACTAAACTTACTAACTTGGATGGGTAAATTATAGCACTGAGACACGCACATGGCAAGTGTCGGGTAAAAGTACACATGCAAGAATTTAAAGAGCTAAATATAATTTTCATGCTAAATTTCGATAAGAATGCTTTTACCTTTGAAAAATGTTGTGAAAAAGTAAGAACTTTTTTTGCTGTTAATGTTGGTGGATTTGCAGGGCTTTATTACATTATTCAAGAAGTTTCAAATGACGGACCAACGTGCACGAGTCATATCGGATACAAAATTTCATTGCGGCGTTTCTCACGGTACATTAAAACGTGAGCTTTAGAGAAGTTTTGTTGTTTAAAGCAAATTATTCGGTAAAATTTTGACATAAAAAACAGAATAAGAAATAGTTTGTTTCGTATATCTAACGTTTTTCTGTATAAAATTTGAAACACAAACAGAAAGTGGAGGATGACAACAGCATAGCAAAGTCATGCGTCCCGAAGAACGTTTGCCATGCAGGCAAGAATGTACTGAAGGTGATGAATATCTTCAATAACCCATTCAGCGATTCACATGAACGTAAGTAATTAAAGTTAATGCATGAATCTGAAATACGAAATACCTTGTTTTAAGTCGAATGAGTTTATTCATAAAGATTATAACTAAACAAACTGAAGCATTTTGTGATATATAAATCGTCAAACCCTATGAATATAACTAGGAATTAAATAAATAAAGATTGCGTCGAGTAAGTTCGACATTTATTGAACGTCTTGGAAATCAGCTCCATCATCAGTTCAAAAATTTAAAGTTAAAAATATAAGTTTGAAAATTGTATTCGTCGGTATAAAAATTTTTAAAGTTTTTAGCTGATGATGAGGCTGATGTTGGGAAAGCTTCAAGGAAGATATAGTGAATTTACTTGGCGTTTTTTTGCCTCTAAATTCTTTGTGAACTTACGATTTAAGCAGATGAACGATCTAAAAACTTGTCTACGAATGTGAAACTTGGAAACTCATTATTTTTTACTTTAATTATTATTGTGCACTTCCACGAAGCCTTCTTATGATTGCTGTCTGGAGCAAATTAAATTTTAATGACGTCATTCATTTATTGATCTAAAGGCCTCAAGACTAAAGGCCGAGTGGGGCCTCGCTAGCCATTTTGTTAACGAAAAATAAATTTTTGGAAAAAAGAATTTGTAGCAAAAGGAAAAAGGGTTGTGGATCATAGCTTATTTTGTGGGCGAGTGAAACTGTGCCACGTTTCTTCTCAATCTTTGGGTAGCGATGAGCTCACACAAACAAACCATTGTCTATTTTATAAACTTTCTTTCAGCAATAATTTTGTCGTACATCTTCAATTGTACGCGTGATGCGAGTGACTCAAAGTGCATACAGAAAATATATTGGAAACGATCGAAATATTCTGCTATAGTTTCATGGATACTCGTCGTCTATGCTTATAAAGAAGGGTGACGATATAATTTTAGATAAATTTTTGAACTGTATGTATTTATTTGATTAAAGTTCGCATACGCAATAATACGGGTACATTTTAAAATGTAGGTAACGATTAAAGCAAAACCAAAGATTTCCCGCCTATTTCAGAGATTCCATGCTTGACTTACTGACGTTCAGTATGTAAATGTTTATTTAAGAAATCCCTTTATTAGTGATAGTATCTGTGATGTTGTTTTATTTACGCTCGTGTAATTTACATGTGAATGCAGCGACCGTCCACTGCTGCTACACCGACAGTTGCAACGGCGCCGGCATTGCTGGTCCCGCGGCTCTGCTACTGCTGAGCTCCTTGCTCATGGCCTGCGTACTCCTGTTCTGAAGCTGCGATCAGTACTAAAATCTTCCTCTAAGATTATTATTTGAACCGATTCTGTTAAGTGTGATGACTAATGGAGAGTTAAGAGAATGTTTTATGGAAAGGTTTCCAGGATTTGTTGCAATGTTTGTTTTGATGATAGGTTAGTTGGTAGGCTCTGAGACGGTGAGCGGCAATGGCCCCCTCACACTGCAATTAGAGAATTATTAATGCAGTTAGTGCTCGTGAGTTTGGAAATTATCTGAGTCGTTTTATTGCTAAAATTAAAAATTCATCGGCTGCGTAATCGATTAGCATGCAACAATGATAACTTTGTTTTATGTAACGTCGTCAATTGTGGATGACCTCAGCTCATGTCCGGTACCGACAATCAGGGCATAGCTACTGATGTGAGCATCCAGTGCACCAGAATGAGAGGACGGGAATGATCGGCGGTAGTAGACATCTCAACGAGCATCTCATTGTTTCAGATGAGACGAATTGCGTGTTTCAACTGGCTTAGCAAGAAGGTTTGCATGCATTATAGTTCCTTGCTTGTCCTTCTGATACCTCACGAGCAGTTTTGAACTTCAATGTTACCTTTGTTACCTACTCTGATCCTCGCTATCCAAAAATTTCTGGAAATACAATTTTCACATGTGCTTGATTTCACATGTGCTGAAATTGAGTACGATTTTATTTCATAGATTGTCACGAATTAGCGTTGGACGAATTTGAACGTTTATTCTAAATAAAATTTATGTATCACTTTTAATGCTACCTTGTAAAGGATAATATTAAGATGTGCCGGCGCTTTTTAATCTATACAGTCAATAGCAAATAAGTTACCAGAGACTTTTCACTAAAAATGTATACAATGTTTATCATACATGTATTAAATTATTTCTCTATGATAGAAATTAAAATTTTTGCAATAAACCATTTTCCACCATGAACTTGTTCTTAAATCCTGTTAATAAGATATTTATTTTACGTTCAGAGCGACTGTTCGAGAACGATACAGTAATGGCAGCAGTGCACGGCTCTCTTTAATCCTGTCAATAAACGATATAGGGATAAATACTTGATGCGTATTCAAAGTCAGACATCACACAAGACTGAGGATAAAAATAGTGCATATTTTTGCCTACTTTCTGAAAAATTTATTCATCAAAATTGCAGACCGTCTTACAAGACTTATGAAACCACGCATATACTCGAAGTATTTTCCTTCTAAAATTGAAAATTAGTTGTTTAAAATCTCAACTTAATCTGAAGACCACATAACTTTGACCAATAAGTATATTTTCATGATTGAGTTGTATAACTGGATATTTTATAAATATGAATAATATTATCTTAATATAATGTAATTCACTTTGGTAAGAACAACGAACAGCAAGCTTACAGTATGAGGAAACAGTTGCAACGAGAGTGATGATTCTGAAGTCGAGAGTGGAAAATAACTTGGAAGTGTATAACGACAAAGAGTTGAAACTTTCTAAGCATACCTATTAAGAGTCAGGTGGAGCGGTCGCTGAACGCCGCATCGAGCCCACACGGCCTCACGCGGTTAAAATTTCTCGGCCAGGCTCTGCCTTCTAACGTCTGGCTGCACATTCCCCTCCTCCACTCCCCCTCCTCTACATTTTTAATCAGCGAGCGTCATACTACTAATTTTTCTACGAAATTGTACTCTATTATCAAATTGGTTGTTTTCTTACTAATAACCTTCATTGAAGGTTATATCCTTCATTATTCCTTCATTATATTATATTATATTATATTATATTATATTTAATAATACCAACCAAAAATATGTGGGGGTATTCTTTTACCACTCCACATTAAATTATTTAACTCCTATCAGAGAACTGAATGGCCTGGCTAGTTGACCTGAATTGTTTACCAATGCACGGACAGAAACATAGATATCGGCAGGACGAATTTGGTTGGGAGAAATGAAC